GGAATGACTAATTAAAGGGAACACAGCACACCTGGGGAGGGAAAACACAACACAAAAGGTGCGTTCGACTTCATGCCGCGCAAACCAATCGGAGGCTGACTTGAAGCAGTGCATGCCGGTTAGAGATTTTGTCCGACTTGAACCGGAGCCGACAAGTCTGTGAGTCAGAATTGAACAGACTGAACAGCCGGCATTTTAGTCTACTCTCCCAGGATCAGGAAACAGTCCTCCATAAAATGTGCTGCACACATCTGAATATTTGGGTTGAACTGTTCTGGAACAGTGTTGTAAATACAACTTAAAGGGGTGGTTGATTGCGATTTCACTTTTTTAACGTTAGTTAGGGTGTACTCACACTAGGCGTTTTGAACCGTGTTGAAGGCGTTTTGTTCGTTTAGCCGGCCCTGGTCCGGTTGGAAGAGGTGGGCCAGGGCACGGTTCGGTTGGGCGCGGTACGCATGCAGTGTGAGTGCTAACCGCGCCGGAGCATGGAACAGATGCTATTTTGTGTGCGCTACTGTCATCATTACGACCACAAACATATTCTATTACTACTACTACACTACACTTTTCAATTAAAGGCAGGGTATGTGATTTTTCAAAAACACTTTAGAAAACTGATTCGGGCCGAATAGCAAAACAAACTTGTAACCAATCAGCAATAAGGGGCGTGTCTACTCGTGATGTGGAGGAGGGATAATCGCGCTCGGGCTCGGTTCAAGGCAAGCGTGCCTAGTGTGAGTACACTCCAAGAAAAAAACATTGTCTTATATTCGGGTCAATACAGTAAATAGAACCTGTGCTTTTTGCTCCAATTAGCACAAAACCTTAAAGGTTCTTGGCCAAGAACACTAACCTATCAACATTTTCAGGGAGGAACGCAGGCATGTTACAATGTTCCCCCCTGTACTGAAAACCCTTTCTGATGGGGAACTTGTAGCAGTGACACAGAGGTATTTCCTTGCCAGCACAGACAGTTTTGGATATTGTCCCTTGTGTTCCTTTCACCAAACTAAGGGGTCATCTTCGCTGTCAATGTTTCTTGTGAGCAGATATGAGCCTAGCTCCATGTCAACATCATTCTATTGAGAAGAAGCATCAGATGGTGCTGCTGCCTCACTGCCCTTTGCTGCTTTAAAAAAACTGCCTAAGGTCTTTCTCTTCTTTTCTACGGGGGGCAGCGAAGGCTGGGCGCTGGGGGCAGTTTGTGGGGGGACTTTGCTGGAAAAGAGAAAAGATCACTTAAAAATCTCAATATTCTACACTTGCTAACAAAAGTAACATCTCAGCAGTTAAAAACTAAGGTGGGTTAGCTAAATCCAATTTCAATTATTTGCAGCTTTAAACAATGTAGCCTAATGTAAATTTCTTACTCTGTGAGACAAAGTGTATCGTGAATCATGTAAAGATATACTTACCATAGCAATGCTAGTCATCTCATTCTTCAGTCTGTCCTTGACACTGACTTTGTTGTCCTCACCGACATAGTCCAGTTTAAACCGTGGATCCAATACTGTGGCTATGTCGAGCAGCTCCTGAGTGTGTGGATCACTATACTTTTCTTTAAGGTAATGCAGGATTTTTGACTTAATTGATCGTGCGAGATCTGTATCATCTTCCTGCACTGCCATCATTGTCTCAAAAAGGTGGAGGACAGGCTTGACTGATGAGATAGTAACATACTGCTCTCCTGAGAGAGCATCAGTAAAGTCTGCTAGTGGGGTGAGCGTCTTGTTGATCACTTCAAGGACTTCGATATCCTGCCAGGTTGGTGTCAGGTGTCTAGCCTTCCGGTCAGAGGAGAGAACATGTCCAATAGCAGTTTGCTGTTCAAGGATCCTCTGGACCATTGCTTGTCGGGATCCCCATCTTGTTGGGCACTCCGTTTTAAGCTGGAGTTCAGGCAGGTTGAGCTCCTTTTGAGCAATAGCAAGCTCCCTCCTCCGCTTCCAACTATGGCTGAAGTAGGCCACAAGCTTTTTGCAAAGACCCACAGCACGGTCAATCCGTGAATCTTTCATTGCATTCTCTAAAAATAAAAATATGCTTTGTTATCAACTCTGCAGTAAATTAATTTAACATTCCATACATTTTATTGCATTAAATGTTAAAATAGCTATTAAAAATACAATATAATGGGACAAACATAAAGCAGGATAAACTTAATTGTGAGTGCTTATACTTAAAATATTATTCTTTTTTTTAATCTAAATGTTAAATAAAAGTAATTAGTTAAAAAGGCACAGATTAAAATGTAGAAATATACAATACAATCATCAATGTTCATTTAAGCCTCAGAGTAAAAATGGGCCCATTTATACTTTTATTTTTTCTGCTTATGTCTGGTTAATGTATGTATATTTAGGGCTGCACAATAAATCGAAATGAAATCGCAATCGCAATTAGGCAAATGATGCAATTGTCATGCGCATCTTGTCAGTGACCTACGGCTCTGTGTATTAAATGCTGCTCCATCTGAAAGCAGGTGATGGAGATTTACTGCTGATTACAGAACCTGCTTTACTGACAAAATGACAATCGCATTTGATTAATCGTGCAGCCCTATTTTTATAGTACCTGTACCTTATGTGTTATGTGTTCTTATTTTATTCTGTCATAGGTTAATTATTTAATAAAAAAAAAAAAACATAAGAACACATTTTTCTGATTTATATGAAAATGTTACTGGGTGTTTAATACACAGCTCACCTATAGCCAGATGTAGCCTATGGCCAAAACATTGAAGCCTTGTCCAGTTGTTCAGGGAGGCTGCTTTTACAATGTTTGCTCCACTGACCATAGGTCTGCTGTTGCCGCGAAGTTCTGCATATTTTGCGGTTCTTCCTCGACTGTCATTCGACACTGGGTATATAGACCTGGCAGTGCAACGGAAGAAAAATAGTTGCGAGAGGGCAAAGAGTAGTGCTTGTCTAAAGTCTTTATCATTGTCTTAAATCCCTCGTTTTCAACGGTGCTGATTGGAGCCATGTCTTTAGCTAAATGATAAGCGATGGCGTTTGTTATCTCTTTGTGCCGCTGGGAACTTGGAGGGTATGGCGATGCGCCGTACAACGTCTGAGTTATGGAAGTTTGTGTGGTCTGGCGGCTCGTATTTTGAGGTGTGGCTCCCTTGTCTTTCATGGCTAACTCGTACTGTATTTTGTGGTGACGTTTGAGATGATTGTAGAGATTAGTGGTGTTACCTTGCGGTGCTGCGACGATGCAAAAGCACTGCTTACAAATTATGACTCTTTGCGCATCGTCTTCAGGTTTAAACCCGAAAAAGTTCCACACGTTGGAATGTGCTCCTTTTTTCTGTACCAAAACCGTATATTAAAAGCTAACAGAAGCAGTAGCATTTACAAGTAACAGCATATCTAGAAGTATGAGACAACAACAATCAAAAAGCATAACCATTAAGAGCCGTGCTTGCACAGGTTCTGCACGATCCTCTTCACTAATGTCCTCTGCGTCTCAATCGGGCTCAAACTGATAAGCAATACAGACGACGCCATTGTTTACAATACAACCGGAGCACATGCCGCCGAGGTGAGGGGCATGACGTTCAGACGCACACTAGAGGCGGTTTAGCCAATCACAACACACTGGACCAG